TGTATAGTTGCCAGTATTAAATAAATGAGGCAGTCATGCACACTTAGAACATAACTGCAGGCTCTTTAAGGAAAATTGAGGTTTTAGTGTCACGTTCTATCAGAAGAAGAAGCAGATTAAGTTCTACCTTTATAGCAATTATTTAGGTCTCTTACATACATAGAGATTAAGAATTTTAAACCTACCTTGAGTAATTCCACATGCACTAATCCCTACAGCTCCTACAGTGAGGGTTAAAGAGATGAAGCTCAGAAATTCTTCCAAGAAATGTGGGAGAACCTCCAGAGCTGACACCTTTCTGCTCAGCTCCCAAACTCACCTTCTGAAGGTCCTTTCTGGTTTCTGTGAAAGCATTGTAGTGAAAAGGAATTGTTTCATGTAAATTTGAAAGCAAGTGCCATGTAAGACTTTCCAAAAAGAAAATAATCATCCTCTCCTTGACGTCATTTTGGGGCAGTTTTTTAGTCACACAATGTCAGGAGCTATCTCCCACTGCAGTGGTCTGTGCACCACAGGTGCCTTAAGGCAACTGATTAAACAGAATTAGCTACACATGGGTCTTCTCCATCCTGATATGAGCTATTTATAATCCTCTTTGAAGATATTTAATGACTGGATACACAAAGAAAAACATTCTTAAAAATGAATTTCTTTTAAAGAGATAGTAAAGCAATTTTATAAAGCAGATACCTGCCTGTCTTACCACACTTCATCTACCAGTCTTCATCCACTTTGTTCCTCAATGCTGTTCAAAGCTATCATTTCATTCCTTTCAGTTCTCTCTTTTCCTTTTTCTCCTCATTTTTTCCACAGGACTGACACTACCTTCTGAATTATTCCCCCTTACTGGACAAGCAGTACGCATGAGACAGTCTTCTTTTTGTCTCTTTTTTACACATATGCGAATAAAAAAAAAAAAGAATGATGCTGTCAGTGGTAATGCACACCCAGGGCCTACCAGCAAAGAGTAAAGGCTTTTACACCTGGTAAAAGCATTCAGTTGTGGAGATTATATGGTCACTCCCAAATTGGAGCAGAGTGCTTTGTAGGAGGAAAATCCATTAATAAAATATTTCATATTCCACCTTCACTGCAATAATGTAATGAGAACTGCCTTGATTAAAAAAAAAAAACACAAAAAAAACCCCACAAACAAACAAACAACCCCCCCCCCCAAAAAAACCCCACAAAAACAACAACAAACAAAACCAATCTATGTATGTTTAAAGCCTAAGTTTAGTGTACATATACACCAGAGAGAACCAATGTGACAGAAAAGAGTGAATCAATGCCTGTTTTCCAAAGCCTCTGAATGAGGATCACACACCTTTCTGGAAGTCATGCTGTGACTGAACTAACCTCAGCAGAAGGGCAGCCATTCCATGGCTTCTTTTCCACTAGAGGTCAGGCTGAAGGAGCTAATGATCTATTTTAGCCTTCAGAATCTATGAGTGGGAGTTGCTGACCAAGATTTGGAAGCCTGACTATCACTTGAAGTGAATCACATAGAGGTATTAGATTTCTAAGTGTCCAACAGCCAGAGATATTTAGTCATGAGAGTATTTTAACACATCAATACAACCTTTCAGAGAACACTTGGTGCCATCTCAGTTGGCAGGACAACATCTGGAAAAGAGAAAAGTTCTTCTTAATTTTCAACCTTGAAATGAAAACTCCATTAGCTTGAATAATGACAGACAACACTTTAAAAACAGTATTCTAAAAGTTTTGCTTTTTCCTTTTTGCTCTTAGAAAAGATACACATTAGAAGCATTTTCCTTGAAAAATCTAGATTGAATTTGTTTCTGTAAATAACTACGAATAGACACAGCTAAGCAATAATCGGCTTCAGGTAAATAGAATTTTTCCAAACCCTAAAGTGATTTGAGTTAAGAGCCCAGGCTTTTCTTCTTCTGTATTTTGATGACAAGCAATTCTATCACTTACAGAAGCATTGACCTAGCTTCTTGAAATAAATACCTTGAAGGCGGTGAAGCTCAGACACAAACTCGTTTCTGAAAATTCCAGGAAATGTTTAATGTATCATTTATAGTTTTAAACACATTCTTCGTTGTGACAGGACAAAAAGTCATGATCAAACAGCAAGTCCTAGCTCAGAGATCTTCACCAGTCATCATCTCTCCCAACAATTCAATGCATGTGTCTGTCTGCAGCCAGGAAAACCAGCATAAAGTAATTTTGCCCAAAGGCTTTTAAGCAGTTACCCACACAAACAAAAACTAAACTGAGGAATTGCTCAGATTTACACTTCTGAAAACAAAGCAGCACATGAAATTTCCTCAGAGATGAACTCAGCTAACCAGGTTATGTCAGCTGGCATTTTGAGCTGCTTCATGGTCAACTGTTAAGAGCCACTTCAAAGACACAGAATGTACTTGGGAGAACACAAAATGCCAGGAATCATGAGAAGAGAAACCCTGTAGTTTCTCCAGTTGTCCAAGACTGGTGGTGAAAATAAGGGGCATAATAAACAAAAGTGAAGTGTAGAAGCTAACAGTTTGAACTCTTTTTCTATGGCTCCCATGGAGCAGCCCTTTCTGTACGTTCACCAGGTGAAAGGGAACACACCTACTGATAACAGCCAGTTGTTGCATCAGTTACAGGTTACTTCATTTCATGATTTTGCAAGAGGGCCTCATAATAGCAGTCTGAAATCCACGTGCACGTTTTAAAAGGTGAAAATTCAGTTTAGCTGAGTAATAAATTCGACTAACGCAACCTTCCTCCTTTGTTAGCTCTCTTGAAATACGCCAACCTATCAAAATTTACAGCTGTACAACAGGCACAGTGCACCTCTACAGGGCAGGGAGCAGAGAAATGCAAGAGCTGTGTGACAAGGACCACTCCAAGAGAGTTTATGCAGAGCTGGCAGTCAGCTTTTGACGGAATCTGGTAAGGCACATTTCCCAGATTGAGCACGTACCCCGCCCAGATGCACAGATGGTATTTGTGGGAGCAAAGGAAAATAAAATATAGGTTTAAAATAAATGCAAGAGAAACACAGAATAATATTGAATCACTCTAGGTATTTCTAAGGGTTTCCAGTAATCTTTTCTACTTCTCAGAACATACGAGTGTATGTTCTGGGCTTTGCAACCACTGAGCAAATGGAAGGGATTTAAAACCAGTTTTGTTTCAAATATAAGATCACAAAATTAAAGACGGTCTCCAGGAATGTGATTTCTGTACAGAAGCTCGATGCAAAAGGAGCTGAAAATGCTGCTCCTGCATATGCCTGGCATTGACAACCAAGCTTGTCTGAAGAGCCTTTTCAGTGCTGAAGGAGAGGACTCGCTCTGCTGCTGAATTTCAAACGGGGCCCTCTGCACGGTGGCCACATTCCCTTTGTTTGAAATGGATGCAATGACACACAGCTGGGAGGAAGAGACAAGCTACAAAATAGTGAGGAAATAAGAGTTTTAGATGCTGTTAGCATGATATAAGGAAGCCAGAGGAGCTGCAGATTGATGAGAGCTGGCAGGCTGTGACCATACCTGGTTTGGGACACAGCTCCAGGCTGCAGCCTCGAGCTTCACCCTCCAGCTGATCCTTCGCAAACCAGAAGAGCTGGTGGTGGCCTCTGTTACAATGATACCATCCGAGGTGGCTGCTCTCAAGATCCCATAAAACCTAGCAGAGAAAGAAGGAACAGGAGGAAAACAGCACAGGTTGGAAGGGGTAGAGAAAGGTGTGAGAACACAAAAGCCCATGCTTCCTGTTGGAGCTCTGCTAACCCAGAGCTGCTGATGTGTGCTTACTCTGCCATGTCAGCAGTTGAAGCTCCCAACTGTTCAATTTTTAATCCTCTCCTCTCATCCTACTTCTAGAGGATCCAGCTCTGTTATTTTACTCATTAGTTAAATTTAACTTTGGTAAATCAGCGTTAACTTCTTGATTCCAAGTTCCAGCCTCTCTTCTTTGGTAGACATGATTGAACACTACACTCAAATTGCAACACAAATCCTTTCTTCGGATTAAACCAGTCTCTCTGGCTTCTTCCCCATTCCTCCTGCCACCCTTCTGAGTTGCAGCCTAGCTCAACACTGCACCAACTTCCACCTCACAACTGTGGGTAGGTAAGAAAGCCCTCCAGTGTTATTTCTTGCAGTACTACAACTACTGCACCCATGCAAAAAGCAGAACAAAATCTCTGACATGTGGAAGCAGCAGTGAGAACTCTCCATCTCCTCTCTGGGCCATCCCTTAGGGGCACAGCTTCTGGGATAGGAAAGGAAACCAAACGTGTTGTGCCCTGACTTCTGCCATTTACAACTTCTCAATGACCAGTAGACTGCATGTAAAGACCGTTCTGAGTCACTTGGAATCTCCTGCTATTATTTAAGCCAGAACTACTAAAGAACCCCAAAATAACCAACTGAACAAAAAGAACCGGAGGAAAAGTCTCTTTAAAGAATGTATTTCAAATTAACACATCACAGAAAGATGTAAGCAAAGAGCAAAACTTCCTATCAGAAACACATTTATGACAGTATGACACACAAACTAATTATATATGTACATTTGGATTACTTGATAGCTGCATTTGCAAGTGCCATTCATTTTATGCTGAATTTATTCAAAAATGAAAAAAAATCCTCTACCAAGGGTCTACACTTTATCCTGTCACAAAACCCATGTTGCAGGAGCCCCAGCAAAAATAATTACTTGAAATTTTTACCAGTGTCTCCAAACAGAATTTAGCACAAATACATTATTTTTTTTTTAATCTATTCAAACTGAAAGAAATGGAGCTGCAACAGTTTAGATTTTTTAACCCCAAAGTGGATTATACAAAGATTTTCATCAAAGATTTTTTTACAACAAGACTAGCATTAATGGTTATATCTTATTATTAAGGTAAGCTTTCTTCAAAGAACTGTATGATTGGAATCTCTTCCTGATACATAGTGACATGCTATTTGCTGGCTGCAGTGTGGAGAGTCAAAACGAAAACAAAAATACAAACAGGCTTTTTTTTCTTTTAATCTTGTCTTTATTGATTTAGACTTCAGAGCTACAGCCAAAAATAGTGCATCTGTAGAAAATTATCAAACACTCTATCAATACAGCATCATGGCATGTTTAGAATTGTAAGCACTCGACAAGTCGCAAAGGGAACATCCAATCTAGTATTTGGCAGTGCAACCCATGCACACGGAATACAGGGGAGAAGGATTCTTTCTCCTCCAAAAAAGCAACACTTCTGAACAGGAACAAAAAGCTTTTGTTCAAAAGAAGAATTCCAGTTAGCACGGAAGACTCATTGGCTCACTCAAGACATCATCGTACAGCGCTGGAAACTTTGTGTGGAATGTCAAAGGGGACTCGGAAGCTACAGCTCTGCTACAGGAGCCACGCTGTCTTCAGAACTTTATAGGCCATGGAGAAGGTCACTGAGTAGCCAACTGCCCAAGACAAACCTCTGCCAGGCTGGGGAAGAGGGATCAAGTATGCAAAAGTGTGGAAGATCCTCGCCCCTGTGAAGATCCTGAAGTGCAGCAGGGCCGTGGACAGCTCAGGGCCACTCAGAGCATACAGCAGTCCAATGCCAACAAACGGGACAATATTTTCCAGGTCATTCAGGTGACCTCTGGAAAAAGAAGCAGAGTTATTTTAAAGTGTTGTATTTTGTTGAATAAACCATTTCAAACCTCATCATTGTTCAGCATCTTCAGAGCATGTGACTACTCAACAACTCTCGGCTTCCTCTGCAGAGGGGACCTGATTCAGTCACTGAAACAATTTTGGCATGTTCACCTGACATCACTCTGGTCTCTCCTGCTGCACCCCACATTTTTAAGCTTCTGTTCTTCTGTATGAAAGGTATCAGTTCTTCCCCAGGATCTTGCTAATACTAAGGACTTACATGAGGTGTCTGAGTGCACCTGGGTGTGCAAGAATGCAAAGTCAGGGAAGAAAAGACGTAGCTGTTTTCTTGGAGCCTCTCTCAATTAACATCAATTAACTGGAGGGCTGTGACTGAAGCTACTGCAATTCATGACCTAATCCCATAAATCCAATTTGGGATGACCATAAAAGAAAATATGAGATATCCTACATAGGAACTGCTATGTTCATCAAATGTTCATGAAATTCCATCATCTTGAAGAAGGTTATTTTTGAACATCTAACAGGTGTGACAGTTACGCTTTTCGTTCATTTTCTTCACTTTAAGCACTAAAATAGCTGGAAAAATGTTTGAAATTTTGAAACCATAATTTACTAAAAATGGTTTGAGACTGAACTCCAGATCTTGAAGTATTCTTTCACACCCCTTCCGAAATCTTCACAGCTCCCTTCACCTCTTTAGATAAATTATACTTCCAGTCCAATTTACTGATTGAAACAGTGTCTAAGCCTTACTAATGATGTCAAATTTCAGAGCCAACTGGAATCAGGTCATGGTACTGTCTTGCAGCTGCTTTTAGAATATATTTATAATTACAAGGAAGCACATCCCTCCAGATTTTTTATTCTCATTCCCCATAAAAGTACACTGAAGAAAGTAATCTTTTTTCTTGAAAAAAAATCTATTTTTCCCCCATAGACTAAACACATTCCAATCACATATACAAAAGAGAAGCCATGCTAAATTTATGTGGCATTATCTGTTGCCATGAAGCTTGCAGAAGAAAATATATTAAACTTCCACTAAGAACCACAGTTGGGAGGAAAATATGGATGCTGCAACACCAACAGTGCAACTAGAAGCAAGCTTACTTACTAGGTCTGGGGATGTCTGAAAAACTCTACAAAACATCAAAACAGAATTTGAAAATTTAGTATTTGAAAAATCCATTCTGTGAAAATTACTGAGGTGGCTGTCATTTTTCTACCACAACAATTTGAGTTAAATGGATCATAAAGTTAATCTCAACTTAGCTGGCCTCTCACAATTTAAAAGAAAGGAACTGCCCCTCACCATGAAAGTTTACACTTTTATGTAACACCCATGGAATTAAGCAACAACTTCCCTGAACTACTCAGGGGCAGAAAAGGAAAGAGCAGAACATCTTTACAGCCCACTTAGATTAGGTTCTTCTTTCTGAGATTTTAATCCATAAGAGATATACAGAAATACGCTTTGTGAAACAACAGCCATTATGTGCAGGGTTGCAGTGTTCTTAAAACAGCGCTGGTACATATTTTCAAGATCTTCCCTAACGGAGGTTTAAATGAAGAGTTGACTGACATTCAGGTTATTGGTATAAAAATAAACTTAGCTTCATCAAGGAAGCATAGAAGGTATTCAGTTAAAGCTTTCCTTATTAGCACGAGTGTATCAAACAGCATCCTGAAATTTAGGACCTTGGAAACAGAAAATTTTGCCATGAGCTACATCAACTTATGCTCATATTTTACGGTGTTCTCACCACTTTGCCCATGCAGACAGGACACTAGCCAAGAGATAGCTATTATAACCAGACAGTGGCTTATTGGTTTTAGAATGCACACTCACCATTTGAACGTGGAATGGTTTGTTCACTTAAACTAATTAATGTATTAGACTGTTATATAAAGCACCATAAAACATACATAGGCTTGACAGAGAATGAGGTGAAATCAACTCCTTGATTTAATATTATTTTATTATTTAAAATAACTTTTTCAGGTTCCTGTGTATTACCTGCGTACACGTTCAACATCTGGATCAGTCCTCAGGAATTTCTTAGCACTCTCCCCTTTTCCAAATGATTCTGTATCTTCTGGGTTGACAAATGCCTGTTTCAAACACAAGAACACATGTGACATTAGCAGCCAAAATGTTTTATCCAGTCAAGGCAGCTTGCTATAAAGGTCACTCTTTTTACCTCAATAAACTCACTTAACTTACCTGAAGTTTAAAGCACAGTGAATTATACAATGTTTGCTGCATTACTGCTTTCTTGAGCCCAGCCTGTACATTTGTGTGCTGACAAATTAATGCAATGCAATTTATGCACTTAGATAAAGCCTTCTGGTGAGATGGACAAGCCTGCAGTAAAGCCAGTGGGCTGACAGAACATCAGCACCTACAAGGTGGAAGCTCTCAAGTCTCTTTTTCACCATTCCTGACAAATTATCTGAAAGTTCTTTTGGATCCCTTCTTTCTGCAGAAGTCTACAGAGCAATAGCCTTATTCCCATTATCATTTATGACCAAGGAAGTGTCTCCCTTTCCTCTTAGGTACAAATTCTTACACTTGCATGATCCATTATTACCTCAAAATACTGCAAGACACTGCTTGAAAACAACATTTAATTCAGGCAGTGCAGACTGCAGTTGATTTCTCCCTGCTGACACACATGTAGTAACATATGCATTCTGTGGACTGCTCAGGCTATGCAGACATAAGTCAAGAAAATATTTTGATTTTAGGAGAGCTACACGATTGCTTTCCAGGGCAGCCTTGATCCCTATTTGTGAAATATCCTCAGACTTCTAGAGTTGTGTTAACAGTATATCAACAACATTTTACATTCTCTTGCTCCACTCCTTTCCCATTTTTCACTTTCAAGACTTTTTTAGTATTTCATAGAAAATTAAAATTACTTGACTATTTTTTCTGTTTGTAGTATTACTAACACAATGAAACCAAACTCTGCAGATTACTGAGGGCCCACCCTATTGTCATCTGCATCCACTTGGAGCAGTTCAGCTGGGTTCTCCTGCAACAAGCAGGAACAAAAAGCAGCATTTCAGCAAAGGGACTACACCAAAATCCTTGAAGCACAGACCATCTTGCAGAAGCAGAACTCACAAAAACAGCCATATGAGACACACTCAGGGCTCCTTCAGCCCAGGACTAAGTGTTTCCTACAGAGGCCATGAGAAGATGCCTAGAGAAGACCAAGAACAGGGCAAGCATAACACATCTCCCATGAGCACTTTATTCTAAAGTAAATGCATCTTCTACATTATTTAGTAAACCTCAGTGAATCTTTGATATTATTATCTAGCACAAATATCAAACCACAATATTTTCAAATAAACAGAAATATTTTCAAATGTTTTCAGATACTTTCAAATCTGAAAATCCAATTTGCAGCCTCCCTCTCACTCTAGAAAAACAAGGTTATTTTCAGATAGTGACCTCCTGCTGTAATAATTAGGGAATGCAAAAAGCTTTTGAATTATTGGATGAAAGGGCTATAGATGAATAAAAATCTATCCTCTCTTCTGACCCTACCAGTTAGTTATTCATGCAATATGGCTCCATATCACACTTTTGGTTCTTTATAAATTGGGTACCCTGGACATGAGATTTCTGCAGAAGACAATGGAAATTACAGTTATGAAAAACTCTTATTTAAAAATAACAGAACTGTTTTAGAACAGTAGAGTAAGTCAAATGCAAGTGTAATTTAGTCTCATAATTATCTCGTAATTAGGTTGAAAACATCATCCAATTGAGACCACCAAACTCAGAATCTCTCCAGAACAGGGAGGAGGAAGAAAATGAACAGCAGCAGTATTTGGAAGCTGAAAAAAGACATAGCTGTGATATCTTTGTATTTCAATACAAATGTCAGTCTGTTCTCCCAGCCAGTATTTCCAAAAGATTACCTTCCTTGTGATCCTGAAGTATGCTGTTATCAGACTCATTAGCATCATTTTTAGAAGAACAATGGTTGTGTAAGTAGCAAAAGCCCTGAAGACTTCATTGTCAATTAGCTGGGTCGATTTGGCCATTTCTCCCCTTCTCACTGACGACCTCTAAAAAACATTAAAGTTAGTTAAAGCTAATATCAATGCAATCCAAAGTTCTGACAACAACACTGTGTTAATAGCCCTGTTTTTTAGCATCACTGCAATGACAGCATCATTTGGCCACTGTGGAAAGTTTCTTTTTAAACAATTTTCTACCCTTTCTTTTTTCATAAAAGCATAATATAATACCTTAAGATGATAAATTATAATCTTTTGCTTTCATTATAAGTGCTTATTAAACTGTCAAAGTACAAACTACCAAAATATTTAATGTAATTGCAGAAACAACAGTTATTCGCAGAATTAGTACTCTTTTGAAATAACACAAGGATTTAGACCAATTTTAGACCAATTCATTTGAATTAGCAAACTTCCCTAAGCAGTTACCAGGATAGGAGTATGTGACAATACTATGAACTGTGAAATGTAAAGAGGAAAATTAGTATTGCCTACCCTTTTTGTGTGCAAAAATGACACAATTATAATTGCACTTCAGCTTTCAAACTAACTAGTATCTTCCTACCCAGCAGTAACTTGTGATCAAACTGAGCTGAACATGCGTTTTTCCCCTTTGAGACCTTGTTCTTAAAAATTGCTTTTAGCATGACTCACGGGCAAAGATTAAGTTGTAATGACAAAAAGGAGAGGACTATTTCTGCTTTTATCATGGGAGGTTTAAACTAATGAAGTCTCTTTCCAATGAGACCGTACCAAATCCTATGGAGGCAATACCTTTTATCAACACCAGAAAGTTAAGAGGTGCTGAGGAGCGAATGCAGGTGGAAAAAAAGCACATCCCCGTGCACATTCAGTTTTTGCCCTGCACAACTCAGGCTTTTGCCTCACCAAGTGTTTCAACCACGCATTTAGTGGCTAGGAATCCATACAACTAGGATGTCTCAGCTCCACTAGAGACCAAAATAAATGATTTTTTGGTTACAGCTAACTTACTTCCTGCGATAGAATTTTAACAATAGTCATAAAAATGTTAATATTCACTTGATTACGGTTTTAACAACCTCTCATCTCGCTTTCAGCAAAGTCAGCTATTGCCAAACAAGAGGAACTTGATGGGCAAAGAGCACTATGGAAGACTTGCTCTGAAGGCATGTCCTCGGTGAGGAAGTGGGAGCAGCTGTTTGCTCAGTGAAAACAAAGCTCGCCTTGCCTGGACCTGCCGTGGAGATGGGATTCTGCTCCCTCTTTTATCCTTTCTAAAACACTGCTTGGGTCACTGGGCCTAGCACAGGGTCTGTGGGAAATTAATTCAGTGTAACTCTGCCTCCTCTCTCATTACAGTCCAGTTCCCAAGATAGACAGCGACTTGGTGAATACTCTTCTCAGAAATGGACAGTAACTCCTCCTACTCATTTTAACAGTCTTGTAAACATAACAGAACTGTCCTGCTAGTCTTAACTTTGTATCAAAGCAAAAAGCCCCGCCACATTTTCCCATTTTCCCTCGCTGCCCTCCGAGCTCCCGGAACGCCCAGGACCTTCCCACAGCACAAAATGGAACGGCGGCCAAGAACTCGGCACTTCAGCACCAGCAGAAACCGCACAAACACACCCCAAGTACGTAACAGCGCGGGGTTTTGCGGGGTGTACTCATTACGGTTACAAACAGTGTGATATGCGCGAGTGATAATAATAATAATAATAATAATAATAGTAGTAGTAATATGTCTGCGCAACTCCGCCCGGAGCAGCGGCCGGGCTCAGACCCTCCCGCCGCCCCCGCCACGCGTGTCCCGCACCGCGGGCCCACAGGCGGGGTTCACTCGTCTGTGCGTGGTTCAAACGCCACTTCTCCGAGTGCCGCGTTCTCCAAGCGCAGGCTCCGCTCCCAATCCAGCCGCAGATTCCCGGCCCGGGTATCCCCCCCCCCCCGCGGCCCCTCACGCACCCGCGGTGGGTTTGGCTCCCGCCGTGCCCGCACCTCGCGGCGATCCAGCCCCGCTGCTCCCCGGCGGCTCCGCGCTCGGCCCGGCCCGGCCCCGCCTCGCCCGCCGGCCGCGGGGGCGGGTCCGGCCCGGGCCGCCCTCACGGAGCTCCGCCGGGCTTGTGAGGCCCAGAGCCCGCCAAGCTGGGAGAGAGACAAGGAGGAGGTGTGAAAAGGAGCGAGGAAAAGCCCTGCTGCCTGAACACCCTTGGGAAAACAAAGGCCATGGCCCGCTCCTAGTGACAGCCAATTCCCAACAGGGCTCAAAGCTCGCCTAAAAGTCTCAGTGTTTGTCCCCTGCCTTCTTCTTGTGAAAAATCCGTATTAAACGATTGGCTCTTCGCAAATATTAAATTGAATACTATGTGTGTTATGTTGTATTAATTAGTATGACTGTATTAACCTTTTTTAAGTAGTGTGGTAGACATACTTTAACATAATGTTAAAATAGGCAGGCACTCGTAGTGGCAGCCAAGTTCAGCGACTGTGCCAATTTCCAAGAGGATTCAAAGCTCACCTAAAAGTTTCAGTGCTTGTCCCCTCTCCTCTTCTTGTGAAAAATGCATATTAAATGATGGGCTCTTCGCAAATATTAAATGGAATGCTATATGTGTTATGTCGTATTAACCTTTTTTAAGATACAGTTTTATGTTGTAACATAGTGTTAAAATGGAAACTATGCGATGTAAGATATTTAACTAGCTCAAGAAAGGGATGAGATAATCAAGAAATTCTTCGCACAGAGATAACAGCAAGGAGACACCTAAGAGTTACTGCCTCCTTATCAGAAAAGACAAACATTCTTCCACCTCCTTTCCGTCTTTAAGAAGCCACTAAGATTAAGGTGAAGAAGTTGACAATAACCAGAGAACACCCTATGTTTGCAAAGAATTTTATGCATCATGTATGGATATATGAATATGCAACAAGCTATTGCTTTTAGGGTTAATCCTTTGTTAGGCTGTGTGCTTTCGGGGATACATTGCCCTAGAAAGGCACTCGGACAGTCCATATTTCTTTGCTTTATATTGTCCTAACTCTGTCCAAATTCTTATTACTCTATTTTTTATAACCATTTTATTACTATTAAACTTTTAAAATTTTTTAAACAAGTGATTGGCGTTTGTCACATTCTGGTGGGCCTTAACTTTTACCAAAGGGCAAGAAAATTAAACTCGTATTGCCAAGCTGCTTGTATTGCCAAGCCATCAGCACTGTTCCAATAGATATGCATCATGTTGTTTTGCAAAGTGAAACAGAAAATAAAGGAGCTCTGCAGCTGGCCACAGACTGCTCCTACCAATGTGGCACAATGTGATGGACAGAGGGAACCTGGTGTCCGAGCTTCCCAGTGGTTCTTCAGAGAGAATTATGCTATCCCCACAGCACTCCTCTTCAACAGGAGCAATGCTTGACTGAGCATGACTGAAAAAAATAGACACAAATGTACTCAGAAAGGATTCAAAACTAATCCTAAAGATGTGTACACAGTATGAAAGGGATACAATTTTTAAAGCTGCATTCTTATGGAGAAATCTCTACTCTTAGGTGCATATATTCAATGCTCACTGGTGTTGCTGCTGTGCTTCACGTCATGTCCTGTCATGTCATCTCAAATTCCTGTGTAACTCTTCTTAAAATCATAAAACACAACAAAACTCATTTGAGCAAGAGCTGTAGTATCAGAACTGTTTTGAAATGCTGGTAGGAGTTGGGTTCAACAACCTTTGTTCTCACTAAGAACACAGCAAATAGTGCTTTTGCTGAAATCAGCAAAAAAACTCACAGGAGCTTGGGTCCATCCCAGGGAATGGATTTATTTCAAAAAACACAGAGGAATTTCTGCAGCTCATGCCTTAGTTTAAGACAGGAATTGTGTCTTCATAGTTTACTTACCTAATGCATGTCCTGATCACAGAGTGTGACTGAAATAAAATTATAATTATCTTTTCTTGCCACCTTTTGTTTGTTTGGCATTCTACTCCTTACCTGCAGTCAGTTTAAAAAGCAGATAAACCTATGAAGTTAACAGTAAAACTAAACACACATTATTATACTTGAGAAGAAAAGCTGGTAATTGATTTACACAAATTCTCAGAACTACACCCAGAAACAAGAGAAAACCAGGGAAAAGGTGATTTTCATTCATTGTAGGTAGGCTATAAAAAGAAACCTAAATGCATGTAGAAATTCTACTATTCTAATTCTACTATTTCTGTGCTTTCCTTTGGATTTTACATTCCAGTTTTTCAGATTCCGGATTCACATAAATTTTTCAGACTCTGGATTCACATAAATTCAGATTCATTTATGTGACTTTGAAAAGGCACTTCTGAAACTTGGAAAGCTGCTATACTCCCTGTCTTTGAATTTTGAGGCAATCACCTTGTTAATTTTTTCCTACCCTTTTTGAATACCCCTGATTCTGAGCAAGAAGATTAGGAGGAAGGGAGAAGGGGAAAAAAACAGAAAAAAGAGAAAAATATTTTAAAAATGAGGAGGAGATGGCAACAGAAGATAAGAGAAAGGAGAAAAAGAAAACATAAAAGAAAACAGGGAGGTAAAAAATAAAAGGAAAATATTTTTTAAAGAAATCAGAAAAAAAGACTGAAACAAAGGAGGGAAAAAAGATAAAAATGAGAGAAACCAAGATTTATTGCAGACTCTGAACCACTTAAAAGGTCCTTAGAGGGAAACTCTTTGAGGGCAGAGAATAAGAAGAGTGCCAAAGTGAGGCCACAGCCTGTAAAGCAGAAGTGAACTTGTGCCCAAGGTCTATTTTCTTCTCTACAGCATAAAGTGCCTGTAGAACATTTGGGCACGTCTGTGATCCAAGTGAGGCTGGATACATAACTGCGGGGATAGTTGCTCCTGAGGGGCCCATTCCCACAGTCCTTACTGGTGTGAATTGTCCCTAATGCTAATGGGATTACTCCTGTAAATCAGGGATGCCATTTCAGCCCAGAGCCCAGGGTTGTACTGATCATGAAGGGCTTGATCTTGCAAGCCTCATTCATGTCAGCAACCCTTTTTCATGACAGCTTTCCCATTGACTTGAAGAGCTATCTGTATGGCCAGAGACAGTAGAATCAGGACACGAGTTTAGGGTCAGCATAAAAGTAGAAATAAAAGAGTTTTTCATTTAACCTCCAGCAAGGAATGGATACTCCCCAAAAGGCCATGTAAGTGCAGTCATTCTCTTTTAGCTGCAGGGAGGGCAAAAGAGAAGCAAGTATTGATGAGACTTGTTCTGTCCTGTCTCCTTCTCTGGCTCCATTATTCACCATAATTAGAGTGGTAAAGAAGGTTGCAACAGTACATTTCCACCACACCTCAAGCATTTGTTCACCACCCCCTTGATAATATAAATCAGTTTTTTCTTCAAGTAAAGCTGGCAAATTATGCCTGCTCCGTGAAATAAACCAGTGCCTTGCAGAGCACTGGTCAACGCTAATCAGATCATGAATGCAATATCCAATCCATATTCTAACTTAAAATCTGAAATGCTCTTTAAATACTACAAGGAAATGGTTGCAAAAATGTATAGTATGATGGACTAGAGTAATTTTTGTGCTACTCTATTAAAACCTGCACCTTCTGGTTAGCAATCACTTTGACTATATTAAATGTTGACACCTATGTAATTTTGCTGTGATTCACACACTTCCTCAGAAGATCTCAAGCTGCTGTCTGGTTTCTCCGGGGATCTGCTTCAAAAACAGCAAGAAAGGATCCTTTGGGAATGGTTCCTGCTGGTGTAGCTCAGTGAAGGCTTCTCTGGCATAAGCTGCCTTTTAGTAGAGCTTCTAGCACTGAAACAGCAGTGTCCCTTTTATCCATGCCACAGTTTAGAGGACAACAGTTCTCCATATTGGAATTTGCCTTTTTTTTTTTTTTTCCAGAATTCCACATGCTCACTTGTGAGACAGAAACAGTAGAAAATGATTGACCCGTCACAGTGGGTGGTGACCAAGAAGCAGTGAGAGAAAAAGGTACAAACTCCACAAAGCGCAGGAGTGGTTACATCTGCTGGCTATATGCCCAGCTATACATCATGTATACATTGTGCAGAGACCACCACAAAGCTCATTTACGTGTCATTTTCAAGTTATCATCTAAAGTTGTTTAAAATCTTCCAGATCAAAAGTCAGGCACAGAGCAATCATAACAAATAGTACAACACAGGAAAATTATCTATAATCTGTGCCCTACCAGCTTGATGTCCCAGTTGAGGAACAACTCAGAAAAGGATTGGTGGGCATACAGGAAAACCTTTTTAGTAGGTCTTTTTTTGCCTTGATTCCTTTTTTACTGCATAAGAATACTGCAAGAGCCCTGTTGGTTCTGAAAATAAGTCTGCAGCACAGAACCACCTTTGTAGCTGTGTGGTGAGGTGAGGTGTTTAAAGCCCCATGCTGAACTGGAGGGGAAAGCTTCACTCAGCTTTTGTGATGCTATTTGAGCTGTATAATTGTTTTGGTTAGGAAAGCAAAATATTATTACCATTAAAGGACATAAGAAAGATGATATATGCCCATAAAACAGATTTTGCATTAGTAACTTCCTTTTAAACTAATGCAATGAGAGAGTTATTTGTTAAACATTATCTCACACAGCTCACAGAACAAAATATGATCCTTTAAAATAACACTGAAGTGGCAGAAGGAGGAATTATTCACTATAAAAGCATAACACTTTTCAAATTTCACTTCACAGATTGAAATGACAGAGTGTAGAGATTTTTAAGACATTGAGGTTCTGATCATTTATGTAAGAGTCCAGTGGGTTTTATTTGTTATTGTACTACTTCTCTACTCCAGAGACACAAGGAAATTTTAAAGCTGGAAACCAGACTGGAAGATTTCTTTCCACAGTGACATTCCAACTGCACACAGAAGGCTTGAGTGAGCTACTGAGAAGACAGAAATGATAAAAAGTATCTAGCAAGAAGTTGCTAACTTATCTCTGCAGACAGGATATTTCTGTAAGTAAACAAGCAAAAGCTTTACAGTTATTGGAAATACCTGCAAACAGACAGGCCTAGTATGTCTATAGATAAATTGTTAAAGTTATAAAGTTGATTTCTGAAGCTCTCCCAGCTCCTACATTTGTACTGTTTGTGTAGATGTACCTATTTATGTAAGGCAGTAAAAGAGCCCTGTGGATTGAAGCAACCTCATTTTCTCATGAGGTTTCTGTGCTACTCTGGGATGGTTTGAACCTTTCATTTCTGTTACTCTTACATGGATTTATATCACAGCTGAATGTCAATAGGCTAAATGATCCTTGCACATTATTAATCATCTAAAATTGGAGTTTCTTAATGTTTTATTTGTGTATATATATATATATATATATATATATATCACTAATGGGATGTAAACCATGCTTAGCTTATACAGCAGCTTCTGCCTGGCATTTTGGTGATGATTGTAAAAGCTGAAGGCAGGGAAGGGGAGGGATATTATTGCCCAGATGGTTATTTTTGAGGAATAACCATCTCAAAGAATTAAATGTTCCATGTAAGCAAAATATTGATCAGTAGTAATCACTTGTCCTTCCAACAGGCAGCTGTTAATACCTGGTGGACTGTGTGTTTGATTCAGTGGAAGTTCTACATCAGAGGATGCAGGGAGAAGAAACAAGCCCCCCAAATTTGGGGTGTCTATTTTCATCCTGCAGGAAAGAAAGACAGGAGATTTCTGCCTCCAACCATTCAGCTGTGTCCAACTCCCAGATTGAGAGGAGCTGTGTAATGAATGCAAAGTGAGTAGATTTTGCTAAGTTAGAAAAGAGTGCCCGGAGAGTGCTTGTCTGAGAGTTACATTTGTGTGTGACTTGTTCCTACAGAAGGGTTAAGAGGCAGGCTGCATAGTCCATGTGAGGCAAATGTCACTGCTTTAAAAAAATCAATTTTCTGCAACTGTAGGGCCTAGTCTGACAGTACCTGTGCAGTATGCAGAGCTTCCCCAGGTAGCACACCTATTTTTATTAGTAATCTCCCCTCCTCCAGCTCTCTGTGAAGAGCCAAGTTTAGTCAGCAAAATTACTTGGCACCCACTCATTTTATCCCCAACAGCCCAACCAACCACAATTAAACTATATAACCATACTTTAGGCTTTAAAGGGGTTCCTTTAGTGCAGTGTATAAAAGGCTTTAAAGAGAGACAAAGAGGCAAAGGGAAAGACAAACATTCCACGTGTAGCAGGTTAAAGTCCTCCTCCATGCCTGTCCATTGACTTCAGTTGGCTGGGGATGAATACAGACAATTCAATATTTAGCAATCAGCAGCTTTGCTTAGTCGGCAAGAAAAGAAACAGTTTAAGGTACAGAGCCTTCCCTGGGCTCCTTCTGCCTTCCTGAATCTCCACTCAGTTGCAGCAGCTCTCTCCTAACAGAAATGACACTCCACAGGGTTGGCTCTTGGATATTTTCTGCTGTGGTGCAAGATTGCTCCTCGGGATTTTATGGGGCAGCAGCAGACTTTAATAGTCACCCGAGACAATTATTCAGATACTGCATTGTGCAGTCAGATTGCTTTTGAACAGCTGCAGAAATACTTAGCAGAAATACACTCCCTGGGATGGGAAATAAAAACAAACAAGCCACAGTTAGCAAGACAAGAGTCTGTGTCTTACTGCATCTTTTAGCTTGTAGAAAAAAGGAGTTGTGTAATTGATTTAAAAGTTAATTGGGACGGGGACCATTTTTCATTTAGTGGTCCTTATAATGTCCAGTAATAATAGGCTACAAATACATAGTCAGTACTCAAACATTAATCCTCTTTGGGCAGTGTTGTGACACAGTGTATGGTTCTTTGCCAGGCAATTCCCATTAATAAGATAAAAAGGTGATAAGATAGGGGTGCAATTATTCTCTTCAGTAATGATGATCTTCTTTGGTGCAATCCTATTTACAAAGAACATCACAAAATCATATGCTCCTCTGGTAAATATGGGCAATTTCCTTTCTCAAAGCTTCAGCCTTGCTGTTCTGATGAATACCATGCCTTAACAAAAATACTATTTATATTTTTTTCCCCTCCAAACCACTATAACCACTCTGCTGCAACTAATTAATTTCCTTGCCATTGCAATTCTAACAAGTCCTGGTGAAAATCTTTTGGCTCTACAACATATTGTGGCTTGATGCTCTCTTGTTTTAAGTCTTAAAATACAAAGGGATTTTCAGCTGCACTGTCAATTTTGCTTGAATAAACAGTACTCATAAACACATAAAGTTTTATGGAATCTCTTAACAGGTATCTGGTCATCAAAACCTGCCTCCAGCTCAGGATTTGGGAGGATCTGAAGTACAGCAGGGGAAGAGAAAAATATTTGCTTAGTTTAGACTCCCTGTTTCTTTTTAATTCAGCTGGGCAGTTGGTGGGGGCTCAGTGGGCTCTGCTAGCCCACTCCTCTGCTGGATCTGCTTTTCCCTTAAGACACACTTTGAATATATCCTCACCATTTTGTCCCAGGATAGCCATGCAGGCAAAGTCAAGCTGGGACAATGTTTTGTACAAAATACAATGCATGATATGCTGGGAATTTGGTGGCTGAAAGACTGCTTGTTCACTTTTTACTCATGTGTGCTTCAGTGAAGTTGTTCTTGATTTATGGCTGGATCAGCAAAATCAGAATCAGACCCTTGCTACTCATTTCTGTGGGAGCAGGACCGGGCCTCATGTGCTCTTGTGCTCATTATATATCTCAGCACCAAGTCTCTCAGCTTTGATTCATTGAGCTCTCTTTAATTTGGTACATGCAGCCTTCTAGACTAGATCACATAGCAGCAGGATAACAATCCTCAGGAGAGCATTTCAGTTTGAGAAATTCATGAAGAGGGTGACTTTGCTGCTTACCTTCAATGACACTTGTGGAATAGGAAAGAGAAGAGTGAATGAAATGGAATTGCCAGCCTGTTTCAAAATGTATGCTCTGTTATACAGCAGTTGACAAATAGAGTCCTCAATAATGTAATTCTGGGAGCTGTGCAAGTTTTTGTTGGGTTGTTGTTTTTTCTTCACTATAATCTGTCTTTTCACACTTAGGCCAGGTTTTTCTTACCTGTGTGCACTGCACACAGGAACTCTGAAATACTTCCTTGTGCCTCTCTGCAGGAAAGGCATCCACAGGCCTTACCTGGGGCGAAGGCGAGCAGGAGGAGCAGAGCCTCTTTTTACCATGCAGCAGGGAAAGACCTCGAATTCACCCCTTTTCTATTCCCATCTCCAGCACTCTGACAAGGACTGTTGAATTCAGAGTTGGAGAGAAGTCATACACAGATCTGTAACAACAGATGTTACAGATCTGAGGCAGGTCACTTCCCCTTGGTGTAAAACACACTGCTTTCTGAGCCTTGAAAAGCCATGCCTGTGCCTCCTTACATGGCAGGGATGGCAAAGCAGTAACCTTGCCTTCTTCCAGCAGGAATGAGCCAATTTCCTGCAGGAGAAGGCATTTTACTATTTATTTGGGTGTGCTGAGGGGAAAATGTGTCCTTGACAGTAGCTCCAGTGAATCATCAATATATGCATATGTATAGAATGAGTGTAGGAGCTCTGCAGCAAGAGAGAATGAGAAAGGGTTCCTAAAACAAAAGTGAGCATCTTCCCACTTTAAGAACAGCAGGATTTTTCTCCTTTCTGTGGAAGATTAGCTTCCCACCCTGGTAGCTGCCCCAAGACTATTTGGAATTGAGCTCTTGGTGCTTTTCACCCTAATTTCCACACAGGTGCCTGTTGGCAAAAAGCAATGTTGGCCTCCAATGGTAGCATTAACTGCCTTCGTACAAGAAAAATTACTTTCATGTGAAGCAGAATAAAGGATTTTCATGGTATTACAGGTTGAAGAGAGTTGGAGAAATGTGCTTGACTGTATCCCAAGAAAAGATCAAAGCAAAGATCCCTGACATGCTACCTCCTCCCAGTCCATGTCATACTGCCTTGGCAGATCACAACCTGAACTCTTAGCTCAATGATAACCTGAATTATCTACTTGAAGAGGAAGATTCAGATGAAGGATGGGAAGCCAAGTTCTGTCTTTTCCTTGTGCTGGAGCTGACTGTTCCTTGTGGGCAAGACTGCAGGACTTGCCTCTTAACTTGGTAATGTACATAATTAACTTTTAACAGAGTTAAGTGATTATTCTTGTATTGGAAGTGTATATTTTTTCCATCTTTTTATCTTTTTTTTCTTCAGCTGTTAACATTGCACTGCATGATACACTCAGACATGGCATTGCCTTCCCAGTCCAGAGCAGCCAAAACAAAGAGCTGCTCAGCAGCATAAGTGAGCCCCTTTATCTGCCCTGCATAACCTTCCAAACCAAGAGCAAATTCTAGCCCCATATTCTTAGATTTTATAATACAAATACATTTCATTCATGTTTCCTTTAAAACTTCTGTGAAGTTACTTCAGTCATTTAGTTCCAAAATTTCAGGTGCACCATCTCACTTTTAGCCTCTAAAAAGCCTCTCTGAAATTGTGCCCCCTCTACTTTTGAAACCAGTTCAGGGACTCTTTTCACTCATTCTTGCCACTCAGTATTCCCTCTACTCTTCGCTTGACAAGGCAGATAAATTGATATTAATGCTACATAAAGGAGGTCAAGGGCACATTAGGGTGGCCAGATTTGCCTGAATGCAATCTTTCTGCTACTGGCTTTCTACAGAAGGTGCTGTTAAAATCTGTGGGCATTCCATTAATTCCATGAGGAGGAGTGCAAGTTTCCTTCCTTCACTAAATTTTATTGAATAAACAAGCCACCTACAAAGTTTCATGATCTTTTACAATATGTTCAGAAACACCTAAAATATAGCTATTGCTTGATGAGCTGTACTGACTTGAATTCAAGTTTTTTGACTACTATTCTTGCAGAAATAAATGTACTTGATTTGTTTCTTCCGCTGCAATAGACCCAGTCCAAGTCTTATGAAACCAAACAGATTTTATTTTTTTTTCTTAACTTTTGGGACATGGCTTACATCCAGCTTCAGTTACACACAAAGGATTTCACTCATTCTTACACTTTTGAAAAATAACCACAGTCACAAGTAGTGGCACCTCCTTTAAACCTGAATTTTCTTGGTGATGAAGAAGATTAAGAGTAGATGTTGCATGAGTACAGCCTATCTGCAGATCACCTCTCACAAGTGCAGAAAGCAACAGCAATGGCATCTCTTTTCTGAGAATTTTACCCTGCAACTGCTGGAGATAACTTATCAGAATAAACACCGATGGGCCAAAGTTTTCAGCTGGTTAGTCTGTGCCAGCCAGTAAATTTGGCACCTCTGATAAAGCAGTGAACTTAATTTTTCACTTCTGCTCTTCTGTGCAATAGTTTTAACAAAGAATAGTGGGTGGCTCCCTGTGCAAAATCCTTAGAGAATCAAAGTTCATTGTGTAGCACTGCAAAGAAGGAAAATAGTATTGTATTGCATTGTATTGTACTATACTGCATTGTAATTGTCTTTCTACAGAATTAATGGTCAAACCAGAATTTCTACATTTCTCCAGAACTGTTAAAATGTGCTAGCCAAAGGTTTTCTCAGTATTTTGTCAGTTTGATTTATGTATTAGGAATGTTGGAGGTTTAAGACTGGTTGTAAAGAAACAAGTTTAATTTCTGGGGTTTTTTTTTGGTAGTATCAATGCTCTAAGTGTAGCATGCTGTATTAAAATGAGTGCTGTTGTTTGACTTTTTTAACTGGAGCAGTAGCTACAGGTTGCAGTTTAGCTACATGCTTCAAAAACATTAAATAAAAGTCAGACCTGTCACAACACCTAAAAATGGATATATATGCTTAACTGTGCAATTGCATTAATGTCAATAATGTGTACATTGCACGCAAATTTAGACATGACCATAACTCACTACAACATTCAGGCTTATTGGAACAGTAATAATTTTTTAATTTTATTTTTTCTACTCGTTCAACAGACAATAAAAGAGGGTGATAGGCAGATTCAACAGTCATACCTGGTAAAGTCTGATTATGTATTGCACAACCTAGTGATGATTCCTGTTAGATTTGTGGAAATACATGAAAGAAACTGCAGAGGGATTTGAATAGAAGGAGTTGAGGTGTTTATGGAAGCTCCCTGTGTTGGCCTTATGGGGGCTGAGTGAGTTGAACTTTTCCCACAGTACTTAACTTCTTCCTTGTAACCTGCAGGTCTTGGCTCATGCAACTCAGCATTGCTGATCATGGTGCAAGTTCTTTGATACTCGATGTTTTTCCTGAAATCCGAGTCTTTCAGGCAGGTAAATCTCTGAGAATTTCTCTTGATAATCCTTTGTGCTAGTAAGAGAGGAAGGAGTTAAAAAATGTGGCTAAGCACAGCCCTAAAGGTCAAACTACAACACACACAACACTTAGAAACATAATCCTCATTCAGAAAGGGAAAATTATAAGTATTTTAATTTAATTGATTTAAATTAAATTAATTTAAATTAAATTAATTTTTTTAAATCATAAATATTTTCACTTAAAGACTTTGCTTTTTCTAGACCTGATTTTTTTAAAACATTGGCTTACTTCCTGAATCAGTTCCTTTGGTTTTAACTTGGGTCAAAGGTTTGGCAACTGTTTCCTCATATTTTAATTTTAATGAGACTATCCCAGATTTTTATATTGTCTATTAAAACAGTATTTAAAAACTGCAAAGTCTGCAAGGCCTACTTTTCTGGTCAGTACAGAGTGCCCTCATATCACATTGCTGTTAATGGAAATTAATTGTATCGTGCCTATAGACCTTGGAGCAGTTTTACAGATATTAGATTCTTAGACATCTGTGATGTTTTATTATTGATTAAAGAACGAGAGGAAATCTCATGGTTTAAGACCTTGTAGTGGGATTTATGAATTAGTTCTTTTCCTATGTGACCCTTGGCAGGTCATTGAATCTGTCTTTCAGTTTCCCATCCGTGAAGCAGGGAATAATGATGATTTTCTGCTGCTGCTCTTTGTCCATCATCCCTGCTTAAATAGTGCACTCTTTGGAACAGGACTTGCTACTGGGTAGTGCAGAGAAATTTCATTCTGAGTTCAGATCCCCAGCTGTAATACAAATAATTAATATCAGCATTAAACAGTCAAAGGTATTACATCCAAGATGCAATTGGCCTGAGGCCTGCATAGTTCTTAAAATGATGGATTTTTAATTGATTATTTGGAATGAGACCTTTTCTCAGACTAGCTAAATCGCTTAAGACCCACGCACACCAGCTATATTTAGAGGTGAGGAGGTGGCAGAGTAATTCTTAAAGTGCTCTGTTTCTAATAACCCAGGTGAGTGACAGTCTGGGAGGGCTGCCTCCCTTAAAGCCAACATGACTCACAGCCCCCAGGCTGCATGCATGTGCAGGGTAGAAATTGTATTGAACTGTCCCCATTCAAGGAGCCAGGAAATGCTGCCAAATTCATAAACATTTAATTTAATAATTTCAGGTTCGTACTACAGGGTAGTCACACTAATGGCTTAGCATCTCTAACAGCAAAATGCAAAAGGACTGTGTAAAACTGGGGGAAGGTTAAGGTGAATCTGGAGTAAATAAGGCAATATCTTCATCCCACAGCACATGTTGATGCTTTCAGAGAGCATTCTGCAGAAATTACATTTTTATAAGAATATCTCCAGAGGCCAAATCAAAGTCAAAATGGGAATGGCCATTAATTCTTGTTGAAATGGACACACACACACACACACCACTGGCTGTTCCCAGCAATTCCCAGCACCCATGAATGGTCTCTCTGTTCCTCAGGGAGTGTACATGGTGAAATCAAACCATGAGAAACTGCCAGCAGGGTGCATGGGAGGAATGAGCACCATCCCATGCCTTTTCACATCTCCGATCAAAGCTAAAATAAGCAGCAAAACTGGTTTCCCAGTGGGAGAAGAATATTCTGGCTTCTTGAAAGATGCTTTATGTCACTTGGGCTCCTGGAGACAATCGACCCAATAGATTCTTATTTTGTGTCCTCAGCTTGTCACTGACCTGGGCACCCAGCCACATTGCAGTGTTTCTTTTTCTGTGAGATTACCCAAGGCAAGCTCTGCTCTGGGAAATTTGAGTATTGCCAGGAACTCCCACTGATGCAACCAATCTCTTTCATCACAAGCTGCAAAGTTAAAAGCACTCTCTCAGTTTTAAATGCAGGAACAATCCTCAGCCAGACTCTGGAATAGCTGCAGCTTTGTTCTAGCAGATTCTCATTTAAGAAGTTAATGGCTACATTAAAAATTAAGCTAGCTCTAACTACTTTTCTTCTAAAGGGAGTTTCACTAGAAATCAGATACGGTCCTTCTTCCCTCAATCATTTCCTCTTTTTTAATAGTTTGATAGTAATACTAGTTTAATGTTCCATTCCCAAATATTTGCATTTAGTAAGTGTGAAGATAGCTGCAAGACACAATGCAGAGGTTTTGGTTGAGTTTTCTCGCCGCTTTTCTTCCTTTAGAGCAAACAGAATATTGACTTTGTAGTTGCCTCCCAGTTCTGCTCCTAGGCACTGAACCCAGTGACAGGTGAGAGCACGACACAATATCTGCTGAACAGCCAGTGCACACCCAGCTCTGACAATTTCCCATGTCAAGAAGCCAGGTAACCATTACTCAGTGGTTTTGCACCAGACTGGAAATCTCTGCATTTTACATCTCCTTCATGTGTACCTAAAGGAACCTGACAGGTCTGAGAAATGAAGACCAGTACCATGTTGCAAGAATCTGATAATGAAGGATGTTCAGTGTGCTCCCACCTACCTGCAAACACGCCCTCAACTCTGACCCACTTTGCTGGGTGGTGTCTCATGTATTCCTTCACCTCTTTAAGATTTGTGTATGCAAATAACTGAGTAATACTTATATATACACACATCTTTCATCATTGTAAAGAGGCTGCCAAGTCCTGAAGCTACCAGGGTGTACTAGATGTTAGGTTCATCTGGTTCCTGGGGATGTTGTACAAGCTAAGATCAACTTAATAAAAGTACTGGGAAGGCTGAGAGCCAGTAAGAGCTGCAATGTGTAGTGCTTTGTGCAACATCTCTTAACTGGAAGTATTTTCATGCAAGTTATTGCCAAAGATTCAGATTTTTTTTCTACTTTAAGAAGTTCCTTTATTCCCACAACACTACAGTTAACTATTTATTTGAGGGAACCTAGTTAGCTACTCTCTGTCTCTGTCAGTTTAAGCTGCTCAGTTTATAGTTGCCAAACATCTGAAACATGATATTTAATATATTTTCCTAGCATTTGTCCCTCAAAATTAATAATTCTATAGATAATTTTTATTTTCTACATAAATATCCAGTTCCTTTTTGTACCTCATCAAGTTCTTGACTTCCAAGAGAAATTAATGGCAAAGTCCAATTATAAGATGAGTAAAAAAAGGAATTGTTTTCTCAGGGTTGGATTTTATTCTTCCTAATGGCGTTGAGCTGAATTTTTCTTCTGATTCTGTGTGATGAAAAAAAGCTCCTTTGTTAGTGATACTCTCTTTCAGGGTTACCCTTTTTATAAAGGACAGGCTTATTATCCTCATTTAGTAAGAGACAATAGTTTCAGGGATAGATGCAGTGATTAGCAGTTGAATCATACTTATGTTTCAGGTTAATATTCTCAGATATTTGCTTCTATCACAACCAACTTTCAAGAAAGGTTTTCCATCTGCTTCCTGTGCCCACTCCCTTTACCTGCCCTAATTAACCCTTTCCCTTCCAAGCACTCTGCCTCTAAAGCCCAACAGAAATAGTGTAAGGTCCATATTGATTGCAAAATGCCTGTAATCAGGTCATGGGAAAATGAGGTGTTCAAGGGAGAGTTTTCTTAATTATTTTTCTTTTCAGCCTGGGAAGATGTGGCACTATTTCCAAACTGTTTCAGTCTCTCTCAGAGAGGATTAGGATTCAGGTTTTTTGGTTGATGTAGAAAAATTATAATACATAAGCTGACCTATTCTCCTAAACCCAGGATTCTTTTGGTGTGTGTTTATTCCCTTTAATGTTCTGCTTAATGGGTTGTTGCCTTGAGTTGTAGGTTCTGTTTACTACAAGATGTAACTTGCTTCATTTGTCTGCTTCCATGATGCAGGACTTTAATGTTGAAATCATATCCCCTATAAGCCATTAGTCTAATCAGTCTAGCTCTTGAGGAAGCTGATAAATCAACAGTAATCTGAACCCTGGGTTCCCTTCAAGGACCCTGTGTCAAAGTGCTTTGGTGTTCACGTCGTTCCATGTAATGAGCTCTGCCCTGGAAGGACAGAGAAAATATGGCTTGATAGCTGATGAATGTTTGAGATTCCTTCTCCTGAGCAGGACTGTGATCCTCCTGCATTTCAGTAAAATACTTACAAGTTAATTTAGTCAGTGTGTTGGTGGTGGTTAGATGTGGATGCTTGACCACTAAAAACTGAACTGGCAAGCTACATGCTCCTTTCTGCTTAAAGTCACTTAAGAGAAGGGGAAGTGATTATCTAGAGTGAGCTGTCAACCTTTATGCCAGCTTTCCTCCTGATATGATTTATAAAATAGCTAAGATAACCTCTGGGGGGGAGCTTTGCAATGGAAATAGCAAGTGATTTTTATTCTAATGAACATAACACTGTCACAAGTTTAAAGTTCAAATCTGAGGTACGAAGGTAGGGGGGGGAAAAAAGAGGCCGTAAAATAGGAATGTGACAGCATATGTGTTCCTTCCCTGCACAGTGTATGAAACAGGAGAAATAGGCAAACTTTATTTTTCTAATGAGGTTTAAAATATTTTTTTTCAGTCTTTATCAGGCAGAAGGTCCTCAATTCCAGTTGTTTTTTTTTGGTGGCTGAGGTTTTTTTTTCCTTCACGAGCTTCCCGATTAAAATGAGGCATTTTTCTCACAGCACGTTGTGCTGTGCCCTTTGGTCCTTCAGCATTGCAAAATGTCCTGTCACAATTGGCACTCAGTAAACAGCCCTTGGTTGGCAGCTGTAGCCAACGGGCAGAAAGCTGAATGGACTACAGGAGTTTAAACTGCTGGAGGAGGCTTGTTCTGACCAGCATTTAAAACCACCAAATGACAATTTATTGCAGAACTTATTTCTTCCCATTCTGTTAAAAAAAAAAAAGAAATAAAAAAAAAAAAGGCATCAATTTCTGGGTATTTGACAGCTTTTATTTCTATCTAGATTATTTCAGAACTGCCTTAAAAATAAAATCAAACCCTTTTCTAGAAACTATTACATACAAAACCAAATCAACAGCAAATAATTAGAAAGTTTATCAAGA